AAAAAACCCATAGACTGCTGACTAATACCGAAAAGTATTTAAATTTGAATGTTTGTTTACCGATTCTTAAGTTTGATCTATTGCATTTTTCTACACACTGTATACAAGAAGGTAGCAAAATATGTTGAAAACTGCGCAACTCTATATCAGCTTTCCAACCAAATGCTACACTATTGAGGTTTAGATCCGCTTATGTTCACTTTAGTGTTTTTTTTTTTTACATTTTAAAAATGGATAATAGGCATTTATTTAGCAATACTTGCATTTTTGTTTCAGTTTGAACAGTAAAACAGTAAACAATTACCTTTATTTTCTATTATTCCAACCGCCAAAACAAATAGAAGCAGATGCAAACCTCAATAGTGTAGCATATGGTTGGAAAGCTTATAAAATGACGCAGTTTCCATTAATTTTGCTACCTTTTCAATAATATTTTCTTTTAGTTATTTTTTGTTTGTTTTAACAATTAACTTATACAGCACGGAATGAATGAACGAACGAAGGAACAAATTGTTTACATTGTATGTGATAGATTTTCACCCAATTTGTACACTATAACATACATACACCAAATTATTTGCATCGTTTGGAGAACCATTGATTTCCAATCTATATACTTTAATAACTCCCACTTATAAAATAATAATTTGTTAGTGAATAAATTGCGGTTTATGTATTTATATACATATTAATTCAAACAATTGCGTTTGAATAAATAAATGAAACAAATATTAATTTAGATCTACTTAAGATCAACTTAAATGTCGCGTAAAGGAATAAACATTAAAATATTAAGACTGCACAACATCTACTCGTATAACAGAGTTGAAAAAATAAAAATAAATGAATTTTACCCCTTGTACCATACAAAACGCCTTATGACAGTGCATTGGACATTGAGAAGGTCATCGTCCTGTTTCATCTAAAGAAAAGTCAATAGCTTATTGATGGTTCAAAACTGGACCCGGCTGTCCTTGGTCATTGGGTTTCAAGAACGATCTCGGTTAAAAAAAACAGCTGATCTCAGTCTTTCAGTATTTGCAAACTGCACAATTATGCTCACTCACTCAGTACTCATACTGTACTCTATGTATTTTGGTTAATGTGTGGCATATTTGCCGTCCTAGCAAAAAATCCGCACAAATTATGAAATCCAAGTGCTGAATTTTGTGGTTAATAAATATGTCAACCTATTATAAAATGTGTTGGTTTGTGTAATAATTTGCGTTTTCTAATGAATTGTACCATTGAACATTTAAACAACAAGAGACTCCATCCCCATGTTAAAATTGTCGCCAGTGTTAAAAAAAACCATCAAACAGCAATTGATGTGCACCAGCAACTGATTTTGCTGATCTAAAATATTTCTTTCTGTAGATTATATTACTGTAGAATTATAATTTCAGTATTTCATTACCCACCAGTCAATGAAAGTACCTAACATATGTATTAATATATATTTTTTTTACGATTATTGGTTCATTTGGCACCCACTGCAATTTATCTTAATAAATTATAAGAATGAATATTGCTGTCAACAAACAATTAATTCATGAATCCAATATTGTAACGTCTTGAGGAAATATTTGTTGTATTATCTGTATTTGTTAAATTTCTTCGATTGTTATTTTTGTTTCAATAAAATGGTCTTGTTATTTTTTGCAATGCTGTTTTGGTCAATGCTTGATGGACTTATATTGTTATTTGTAATACAATTAGATAATTCTTTCTGCTTTTGTGCCAAAAACATAATAGTATATGTAAATAGTGTATCTGTTGATATAAATATAAAAAAATCCAAAATGTTATGCGTGAAAATAAAAAAATATAATAACCTGTTTAGTATGCCTAGATGAAATAGTAGCTATGTATAAACTAAATAAAGAAGCCATGCACAAACTGGGCGGTCCAAAATATAAATCACTCAACCAACCGAGGCAGGTTTTCAATTTCACCCCTGATCGCTATCAGAGACGAAATAATGAAAACTGTGATGATGCTCGATTTTAAATGCTAGCTAAGTGATTTATAACTTGATTCGCTGTCTACACTACTGACTAGAGATTATGTAAATAGCTGACAGCGGAAAATGTGATAGTTATTTCAAGAGTAATTCTGTTGAAGTTAAATTTCAACTTTCATATACTAGGCTAGTAAAGCCAACACGAATAATACGTTTTCGTCATACTGCAGCAAAAACATTCGTTTTTAATGCATGCGTTGAGGGTCTAAAGTAGGATTTTTACTCTCTAGCGAAATTTCGATTGTGGTAATCGTATCGATCGATATTATTTATCGATTGATTTATTAGGTAAGGGCCTATTGTTGTCGATTGCTCGACACTTTGAGAGATTATCTTTACATACAAATTATTTCGATTTCTAGCTTTGTTTTTGTTAATGAATGATGCAATATGATGAAAAATATAGTTCACCACACGGGTAAAAAGTGAATTTTTAACCCTCGCTCATTTACCGACCTCGGCTTCGCCTCGATCGTAAAACTTGACCTCGGGTCAAAAAGAGTCACTATAATTCCTAGTGATGAAATATACTATTGTATATATATATTTGATACATAATATTATCATTATTACATTAAAATATGATTAAAGGCAGCAAAGGAACAACACTTAAACATCTATCATGCAATTTTAGCATACATATCTTTAGTTGAGTCAAAAAATATTGGCAAAATGTATGATTGTCGTATATTGCTTCCAAACACTTACATGCATTATACATCTAGATGTATTGAACATTAAGACTATACCTATTATGAGTTAATGAGAAGTCGTAAAAAAGTAAAATCCGAAAGTTAACGGAAGTCTGTATAAATTGTCAAAATTATTTTAATTTTTATTATAAATATTCATGATCGTGACGCAGCCTCTCCAGCTTATGCTGGTATCAAGAAGGAGGTAATAAGGTAATAGTAACAAGTCAAAACTATAAAATGCTCGGATTTGAGTGAGGACCAAAAGTCTTGTTTTTATACCTAAGAATAATAGTATTATTTTTGTTACAACAAACATAATTTTTTCACAACAAATGCATACATACATCGCCAATGTGCTACAAGACAATTTGAGAATTTTAAAAATTCAATGATAATACTCTACTAATACATATTTATTGTGATAGATACAGTGTACATATTAAATGTATTAAACAATATAGAGTGACACAAAATAAGTGGATACCTAGATGTATATAGTATTGGAGCTCTCGGTTTAATTAACGCGCAAATTACTCTATTACAATCCGATGAATACTAAATAAATAGTATATGGAAGTCAATAATTCAAAATTTACATAAGTTTTATATGCATACAGGTATGAATATAATTTTATTACTAAACTGAGCCCAAGATTTGTGTAGTTTATTCAGTGGAAATAACCCGTACGGTATACTACAATTTACCCATAAAAACTTTAAATGCATTATAATTTTCGGAAAGTGCATTTGTGTTCACTCTTATTAGGCTACATATAAGTTTAGGATTTTGCTCTAAATATATTTTTTTCTTTTACGACCTACGAATATTTTAATAAAAATATTTTACTTCAATGAGTATCTACATTGAGTACTGAAATTAAAAATAATCTATTTGCTGTACTCGAAATAAGTTATAATTTCAAGCTACGCCATTGTTTCCGGAATCACCATTTGAAAATAATTTTGTAATTTATTACTTAATTACCAAAATAAGTTCAAATTATTATTCATTATAATTGATTTAAATGTATTTATTTATTTATTGTAGAACTGTTGGGAGTTTTTGTAGAAACATGTTGATTTAATTTGAATTAGTAGTTTTGTGATCATCCTACCTTACTCTAACTGACGATTCCAAATGCATATACCTACTATTAATTGTCAAAAGGAAAATAAATATTCTTATTTTTATTTTTAGACCAACTATCAATAGTAACGTTTAAGAAAATTATGTAAGGTCAAGAAGATTTAATTTATGCAAACTCTACTTAGAATTAATCGTTTGAGTTGTAAATAAAAGAAAAGAGTTTAAGTAATATTCTAACATAATATTAATAAATTACCTACAGTAAAACAGATCCGGGTCAGAATTTTACTCGGCTATTACTTATCTTACTTTACAGAAGTTTATTATTCAAAATACAAGCCATAAGAAATATAATAAATTAGAAATATGTTTGTCTCTTTTACTTGGACCGCCCTAACCTTCAATGATTTGTAAAACGCATCTATAAAGTAACATGACCTTTGGCCCATGTAATAAATAAGGCTTTATCTAATATTTAATTTCAGAATTTAAATCGTGTGCGTTTCAATTAAGCCATTAGTAAGACAAACGTCTAAAAATCAAGAGATTTATTCAATTTAGATAGCTTAGTTTAGAATTCACGTCAACAATATTAAAAAAATATATATATATTGTAAAAAATAAAATTTTAATTTAGAATTTAACTTGTAATTTCCATAGCGTTTAAAAGTGCAATTGAAAGTGTTAAACTGAAAACTAATTTATGTTTATAAATGTGAATTTGCAATAGGCTACGTATAATTGTTGTCCGTAAATTAACATAAAAATATAAATTTATAAAAGGAAGCTATGCATTACTGTTGTGCAAATACAATCCAACATTAAATGTAATTGTATGAATTAAATTTCTAGTCTTTAACTGTCCTTTTAATGTATGTATATCTTTGTTTATTTTTATATTGTTATATTTTATATTATTATTTTTTTTAGTTAATAAAACGCATAAAAAAAACTTGAGTACAGTATGTGAAATATTAAGTAGGCTAACTATAGTGATACATTACATATTGCAATTTCATATATACTCTAATTTATAACTTCAAACGTGGACATACATATACATGTATGTAGGTCTACACTCATATACATTCACAATAAATAAAAATGTTGATCTTATACTCATTTCTTAAATAAATGACAATTTAACTATCAATGAAAACAAATGATGTAAACAATACAAACACAAGATACTTACCACCGTGGAAGACTTAGCACCAAGACACTACACACTTCACAACCAAGTTCACTAGACACCTAAATATCACTGGCATACTCATAAAAGCTTGATTAAAAATCCAATGTGTCCTAGGAAAAAAGCGCGTTAATTAATAGTGCTCACGTTGCACTCGAGTTTCGCGTAGTGGCTCGCGCATGTGCCGGGGACGACCGAGGATGAGCGAGTGTGCGCGAGACAGCCGAGCAGCGCTGCAGCGGCCGCCGCGAGAACTAAGCGCAGTGGAGGGGGAAGAAGGCGTGGCCTGGGTGGTGGGGATGGGCGGGGCGTCGCGTAGAGGGGCGACAACTGGAATATTGAATGAGATTATTTTGTTGTCGAGACAAATACACGGCCCAGCCATGTCACCGCTGTTCGGTTCAATTGTGCCACTGGTTTAGCGGTGGGATTTTCACTTTCTTACAGGATTGGGTGTTTAATCTTGCGAGTTGAGAGTGTAATATTAGGCGAAGTAGATGATTTATTTTGCTAGACGTAACTTTGATCATTTACTTGAGTACTGAAGTAGGCATCCCAGTTATACCTCTGTTGTCAATTTGTTTTTATTATAAAAGAATGCATTGAAAGGTGGCTGTGGCTAATCGTAGTTAAAAAAATTATTAAACACTGCAAAGAACAAATAATGCCCCCTCTTCATCATCTTATCAACACATCTTTAGAGCAGTCCAAAATTCCCAAAAACCTAAAAATTTCAAAAATCCACCCAGTACATAAGAAAGGAAGCAAACAAGATCCAAGTAACTATAGACCAATCTCCAACCTACCAACAATATCAAAACTCCTGGAACGAACTGTCTACAACCAGTTAATAAACCACCTAGAAACAAATAAACTTCTTTCTACTAGTCAACATGGCTTCAGAAAGGGGCTCAGTACAAATACGGCCATAGCTAAACTATGTGAACATATAACAACACTCTGGGAAAGTAAAAACCATGTTTCAGGAGTGTTTTTGGACTTACAGAAAGCTTTCGATAATCTAAATTGGGAAATCCTCTTCAACAAATTAAAAACCTTTGGAATTAAAGACAAAGTTCTAGAATGGATACACAGCTACTTTACAGACAGTTACCAATATGTTGAAATAGATCACCAACGCTTCAGTTCGATAGTTTGTGTACAATCCTCCCTCAGAAGAAGTACAATAGGCATCCCACAGGGCTCGATACTCGGTCCACTATTCTTCATAATATATATCAACAGTTTTCCAGACTCCTTAAACCCTGAACAGAAATGTATTCTATTCGCCGATGACACTACCATTCTCACCCCCATCCAACCCAAAACTGACAATAGTAACACAATAAATTCAACCTTGGACAAAGCCACCGAAATCTGTGACACATTGAGCCTAACCATCAACAAAACAAAGACAGTACATATAACCTTCATGCCCAGCAATAGACATGGCACAGGAATTGATACAGATCCAGTCTCGACCATAACAAACTCAAACTCGACAAAATTCCTCGGTGTATTCATTGATAAAAACCTAAACTGGAGTGACCACATTGATTATCTCTGTAAAAAACTGACGTCTGCGCAGTTTGTAATTAGGCGAATCAGAAATATTACAAATGAAGAAACAGCGTGGGTGGCCTATCACTCCCTGTTCTCATCACACCTGAGATATGGAATAGCGGCGTGGGGATCAGCAGCTATTAACAAGATTGACAAAGTCCTTATCCTTCAAAAGGAAACCATCAGAACTATACTGCGGCTGGATTATCAGGAACACTGCAAACCCTTCTTTGTCCAAAATAAAATCCTCACCGTTATTTCACTTCATATTCTGGAAACCATCATCCTGGCCATAAATTCCTCGCCCAGTCTCAGACAAGATAAACACAACTACAATACACGAAATAGGGCAAACATTGATCTTCCACAACACACACTCACAAAATTCAGCAACTCCCCACTGTACACTGGTTCATATTTCTATAATTTACTGCCGAACTCTATAAAAGCCATTGACAAACACAACACATTTATTTACAAGCTTAAACAATATTTAATCAATAGGCCCTACTACACCACAGCAGAGTATATCGAGGAACACACTTTTCAACACCTTAGATAACGGGACTCACTTCGAGAACCAAACAGATGAATCTTGACGATTCCCCAATCACCCGATTGCGGAGAAGACTTCAGAAGTAAGAAGTAAGTAAGTAAGTAAGTAAGTAGTGCACTACACTATGAGCTTCATCAGCCAAGAAATTCTTATGGAAGACAAGTTAGGCCGTTTGCAGACTGCAGAGCATCCTGGGCAGTGTAGCCACCTGTGCGAGCCCGTTGAAAAGGTTTTGTATTACGGATTTCCCGGGATGTTTTGGTAAAGAACTTAAAAACCACATCACACAGAAGAAAATTGCTAACAGGCGTTATAAAAGCAGCCAATCTAAGATATGCTTGCAGGTTTCTGCCCCGTGAATGCTACAAGCTCTATATGTCTAATGTAGAAGCAAATATTTCCTCGAACTTTTAGGGGAGCCGTCAAAGCACAGAGGAAAACATCTGATATACCTTACCATATTTATTTCTATGGAATCGAAGCAAAGGATCCCAAATTGAAATGCACTCTTTTTGCCACTTTCTTCAGTTCAGTGTGCTCCCCGTCATCGCACTCCTCCATTACTCATGGCTATCCAGTCTTGAACTCTATTATATCTATGACATTTAGCAAGAAAGAGTTCAACCTAAAGTTGTAGCGCTTGGATATAAAGACGGGAGCTGGTATTGACAACATTCCCATTTCATTTCCTAATTACTGCCGTATCCTTCTGACTGGGCCCCTCCAAACACTTTTCAATTGATCTTCATTCACCCATCTCAGAATGGATTTTTACGATGTAAATCTACAGTTTCTAACCTTTTGCTTTTTCAAGAATATGTAATGCCCCATGGCTGCCTCCCGGAAGAATACACAAGTCGGCGATGTTTATATTGATATGACCAAAGAATTCGAAAGTATTGATCACTCCATCCTCTTATCTTAGTTTGAAGGATGTGGTATTTTTGGCCCTCTATTATCCTGGTTTTCCAGCTATCTGCAGGGTCACATGTTAACAGTGAAAATTGGCACATCGATCAAGATTACCTCACTTCTCTCCATCTTCTGGGGTCCCACAGGTTTCATTGCTGGGTAAATGTCTCTTTAACGTCTTAATCAACGACCTCCTGGACGTGATCAATGTCGATGCTTTACAATTTGCAGATGACCTGAAGATTTACTTAAGTAAAATCATACGAAGATCATCAGAAGTTGCAGCAAAGTCTCTCTGTATTCGAGGAGTGGTACGTTTCTAATGGCATGTCTGTCAATCCCAGCAAATGCTCTACAATAATATACTACCGATCAAAGTCTCCAGCTGAATACCAGAACCTGATATTAGGTATTCAAATCCCAAAGATCCAGAAAATAAAAGATTTGGGTGTTTACTTTGATTTCATCTTTAGCGAGATATAGAACCAACCCGTTAAACAATGCTAGAGAAAGGATATAAACTTATATTTACCATATATTTACCATATACAAAAGCGGCATATAGGTCTAGTTGCCAATACAAACACATTGATTGTAATTTGAAAATTTTATTGATAATTTAAAAAGGGAAAGTGCTCAAGAAGTATGTGGAAGTGACTGTCTTGTAGAATATAGATAAAACTAAATTTGAAAAAAGTAATGACGATGTACAAACACTTACGACAGGTTAAAAATGCACTTTAATTATTGTTAATTCAATTCAACAAGTCATAAGATACGTCAAAACAATTTAGTCAAAAGCAAATTTTACGTTTACAAATTTATATACAGTACCCTTTGCTATCAAGAACTACTTCGAATACATTTGAATTCGCCCTGATAATTTCGCATGAAGAGAGTAAAGAGGAAATATTTGACGTGTTTGTAAAATACAGTTTTATCTTATTGTACTATCGTAAAGTAAACATATTATGTCTTTGAGAAGGCAACAACCGTCAGAGTGTAAAACAGTAAAAGAGGAAAACGATCAGTGAGTCTCCTTGTTCCCCTTTTGTTAGGTTCAAATCAAAGCGTAACTAGCTCTTGTCTTGTTGTATTAGAGTCATGCTGCCTCATGAGATGACCACATCTTTGAGACAAAACCATAGATCACACAACTACACAACTGACAGGATACGTGGCTCTGAGGAATCACGAGAAAACACAATTTTGAGGCAAAACTACTCTAAAGGCTACATTTGACTAAACGACTCTATAACAACATGGGGGCAGATTAACTCTGAGGCAACACGAAAACACGGCTCTGAGGTTACACGAGACAACCCGACTGACGAAAAATGACGCAGAACAGTTTTGTTGTCTGTGGTTGCCACAGAGTCGTTTGTCTCGTGTAACCACAAAGTTGTCACAGAGCCTAGTTTTTCGTGTAGAGTGTTTTTCGTCAGAGCTGTATTGTCTCCTTTGAACTTGAAAAAGGTTTGTCTCAGAGTCTGGTTCTCTCGTGTTGTTGCATCAGAGTTCGGTTCTCTCGTGTCGTTATCTCAGAGTCTGGTTCTCTGGCATCGAAGTATACACAACCTTCAAGTAGTGTAACACAACTTGTGTTATATACTTCGATGTTCTCTGGTGTTGTTTCCTCAGAGTTTGGTTCGTTGCCTCAGATTCTGGTTCTAGTTCTCTGGTGTTGTTGTCTCAGAGTCTGGTAATCTCATGTTGTTGTCTCAGAGTCTGGTTCTCTCGTGTTGTTGTCCCAGAGTTTGGTTCTCTCGTGTTGTTGTCTCAGAGTCTGGTTCTCTGGTGTTGTTTCCTCAGAGTTTGGTTCGTTGCCTCAGAGTCTGGTAATCTCATGTTGTTGTCTCAGAGTCTGGTTCTCTCGTGTTGTTGCATCAGAGTTTGGTTCTCTCGTGTTGTTGCATCAGAGTTTGTTTCTCTCGTGTTGTTGTCTCAGAGTCTGGTAATCTCATGTTGTTGTCTCAGAGTCTGGTTTTCTCGTGTTGTTGTCTCAGAGTCTGGTTATCTCGTGTTGTTGTCTCAGAGTCTGGTAATCTCATGTTGTTGTCCCAGAGTCTGGTTCTCTGGGGTTGTTGCCTCAGAGTTTGGTTCTCTAGTGTTGTTGCCTCAGAGTCTGGTAATCTCATGTTGTTGTCTCAGAGTCTGGTTCT